ATGCTGCTAATTCCCATAAGAGCTGCCCCAAGGTTGAGAAGTGGAACAGAGCTTTCGACAGACTCAGGGGCTACAGTTTGAGAGTGAGGATAGCCTGGAAATACCCAGGAGTGAGGGGTGTAGAAAGGTTAACAAAAAGGGAAAATCTAAATTACTATTCACTGTATAAAATGATAATAATATTAATGCCTAGTGGGGTTTAAAACCTAGAGAGAATTAAAATTCATGGGAATAGCATTTAAGTTGGTAGGGAAGTAAATGGAGTAACAAAGTTGTAAGGCTCTTTCACTGAATGGGAAGTGGTAAGCTTTCTAATTTAAAGTAGACTCTAATAAGTCAAGAATGCATGTTGTAATGTCTGGTAATGACTAAAAGAATAATTAAAGAATGCATAACTAACAAACTAATAGAGAGGAAAAAAGAGGAATAATACAAAACAGTCAGTTTAAAAAAGAGCAAGAAAGGAGAGAAAGAGGAACATAAAACAGGTGGAACAAATAAAAAGCAAACAATAAGAGAGTAGATTTAAATTCACATATACTAGCAATTACATTAAACGTAAATGGACTAAATGCTCCCATTAAAACACGTGGATTGTTAGAGGATAAAAATAAAAACCAATTACATGCTGCTTACAAGAGATAAACCTTAATATAAAAATGCAGAAAGTCTGAAAGCAAAAGAACGAAAAAAGATACAAAAAGTAAACACTAACCAAAAGAAAGCTGGAATAGCTCTGTATTAGACAAAGTAGATTTTAAGGCAAAAAGCATTATTAGAGCAAAAGACAGACAACACATAATGATAAAAAGTTCAATTCACTAGGAAGATATAAAAAGTCTAATTTTGTATGCACCAAAAAATACAGCCCCCCTTCCATACACAAAGTAAAGCAAGTATTGGTTAGAGCAGCATGGTGTTATAATACCAAGGTCAAAGGGTTTAGAATCCCATACTGGCCAGCCATTGTCACTGCCCACCCCCCCAAACCCCCCAAAAGAATAGCAGGTAGGAAGTCTACATGCCAGGTTTTGCCTGGAGGAGGGCGAGCTGGTTTGTGATTCTACTGTCCTCTCAGGAGGTAGAATCTCAGGAAGTAGAATGCCTCTGTGGTGTCAATATTCCAGTGCCCACAGCATGATGCCAGTGCTTAAAAACACATTTTTCCTATAACCCAGACCCTAAACAAAACCAACTGCTTTATCTGGGGCTCAGCCAAGAAGCTATGACTTTTTTCCCACACTGATGGAGAGACTGACTCTCTTGGGATTACTGAGAGATGATATACCTGTATGGGGTCATCTGTATATAGCCATATAAGCACACGTTATCATCAATTTGAGGGATTTCTAAGGGTAACTCTGGCCCCCTGTGCTTTTTGCTGTTTTTAGAGCCAAACACCTGGGTGAGATGTGGTCCCACTGTAATCCCATTTCAATGTGAGGGTAGTGACAGTGCTGGGGTTTTCAACTTTCCTTTTAGCCACAGAACTCTTTCTTCAAGTTTGGCTTATGTAGGAGCCATGTATATTGAACAGATAAAACCTGAGCTCCAAACCTGTTCAAAATGAGGATTCTACCACCTCAAACAGTATCCTCTTTAAGAGTATGAGGGAACAAATTGCTCTAAGAAACAAATACCAGGAAGAAATACCATTTTTATCAGATGGGCCCAGTGACACACAATTTTTATATGAATGCATGCTTCTCTGCCATGGTGGCCAGGACACTCAGAGCCACTCTGTGATCACTGTAGGTATTCGTTTGTTCACCCCGAGAAACAAATACCAGGAAGAAATACCATTTTTATCAGATGGGCCCAGTGACACACAATTTTTTATATGAATGCATGCTTCTCTGCCATGGTGGCCAGGACACTCAGAGCCACTCTGTGATCACTGTAGGTATTCGTTTGTTCACCCCAGCTTCTTATTTTCCTATTCTTGTTTTCTCTTCACCTCATTTCCTCCCATAGTTTTTAAAGTCATGCACTACACGCTATATGTCATTTGTTAGACCATGTCAGAACTTTTTGGAGAAAGTCAGATTATAAGTTAGTTAGTTAAGCTCTAGCTCTTAATGTGTTATACATAAAGATCTGTGTTATGGGTTGAATCATGTCTCCTAAAAGGGTGTTGAAGTCCTAACCCCTAGTACCTGTGAATATGACATTATTTAGAAATAGTGTCTTTGCAGATGATTGAATTAAGATGACATCATTAGGGCCTTAATCCAATAGAACTGGTATCTTTGTAAAAAAGGCAAATTTGAACATGAAGAGAGGCAACCACACAGGGAGAATGCCATGTAAAGACTGCACTTAAGCTGCCACAGCCAAGCTAGAGTGAGGCCTGGAACAGATCCTTCCCCAGTGCCTCCGGAGGAGGCCCTGCCAATACCTTGATCTTGGATTCTAGCCTCAGGAACTGTGAGACAATACATTTCTGTTGGTTAAGCCACTCAGATTGTGGGACTTTGTTATGGCAACCCTAGGAAAATTGTACAGGATACAAGATGATTTTAGTTGCTACATGGTTTAACTTTAAAAAAATATTGATAGTAATATATTTATATTAATGCACATTAGAACAAACATACCAAGTGACTCAAACCTATGATTTTCAGGCATGTTATTGCTTAGGACTAGGGTGAAGTGGGTATGTGTTAAGAAAATGACAGCACATGAGGGCTGTACGGTGTAGTTTAGGGCAGAGATTCTGCAGCCCAGGTTCTCACATACTGGCTTCACCACTTACTGGCTGTGTGACCTTGAACAGATTCCCTAGCCTCTCTGTGCCTTGGTTTCCTCTGTGCAATGGTGTTGATAATGGCAGTACCTACTGCATGGTGTTGTTGGATGATCAAATGCAAGATTACATATGCAGTGCTTAACACAGCCTGGGAGCCAGTTCAGTGCTTTATAAGTGTCGGCTCTTAATTTTATTACTTGGATATGAAAAAAATATTGATTGTGGCACATACATGAAAGAGAGGAGTCCAAGTTAACTCAGGAAGGTGGCTGGGAAGGGTGCATGACCAACAGTGTGCCACTCCTACCCTACCAGGGGCTCTGGAGTTTTCATGCCCAGTGGCTCTATCCTGGGTTTCATTGTTTTTTAACAACTTGTTTTGGAGGAACTTCTGTAAAGCCACTCTAATTTTTTTTGGAGGCCTATTGACTTCAGCAGCAGTCAGCGGGTTGATCCAGGGGTGTAGAAGAAACACCACCACATGGGATGGTCACCCACAGCCCTCACCTGCTGTTGAGCTCTGAGAGCAGACCTGGCCTTTCTCTTGTCCCAGGGCTCCTTCTCCTCTCTCTCCCCAGCTCCTCACCTGACTAAAGCTGATAAGAGCCAAAATTCGCCAGATTTTTCTGACATCTAACATTTTGTATCTTGCTCTTGACCCCCACAGATCATTCCTCCATTGTCTATTTACAATGTGACACGTCTGTGATCCTATCAGCTCAGAGAACTTAACGGGCCAACAGTGGTTGCCTCCCACCTCCACCTTCCTTGGGCCCCAGATAGGTTTCTTTCCAGGCTCTGGGTTTCTCCAAGAAGTCCCTAGGAAATGGTTTGATGCTAACTCTGCCCCATCGGATTCTGGCTCCTTGAGGTGGGATGCAGGCTCTCTTTGGCTGCAGGATGAAGATCAGAGAACTACTACAGAGGTCTCAGCACTGAGCGGCTTGTCCACACACAGATTCCAGCTCTGGGGACCTGGCTTGCCTGAGTCTCCTCTGCTTGTGGTGCAGACTCAAAACTTACCCGAGCCACGTGATAAGCCAGTGCCCCACATCACTGTCAGGTCCCAGCTCCCCCGCCCCATAACTGCAGGCTCCTCAATGCCCAGTTTCTCACCCTAGGTTGTTCAGGATAAAAAATCACAACTAGTCTTATTCCTACAACTGCCTCCTCAGCAAGCCTAGTGACTGTCCGGAATCCATCCACCGGTAACACTCAGAGACCGAGCCTCCACCCTCTCAATCCTAACAACCTGGCCTCTTCCCTGGTCACCTCACATCCATTGGCTCCTGACAGGCCATGTTCCACCTGATCTAAATCAAGTAACAGCAGCCCCTGCTACAAAGTCTCAGCTGCCGCTTTCCAGCTGTGTGAATCACCTGCACCTTGCCTTGGTTCCTTATCTGTGAAATGGGCACAATCACGAAACCTACCTTAAAAGGTTATCATAAGTATTATACAAGATGACAGAAGTAAAAACCCTGCAATGGTGGCTGGCTCATAGCAAGTGCTCAATAAACATAACCTTTCATTTCATTGGAAGAGAAACAGACTCTTCACCATAAACTCTTTTGCACCTTTAGAATTTTGTGCCATTTGCATGTATTATTATCCATATAAAGTAAGCAAATTAAAAGTAAAAACAAAAATAAAAGAAATTTCAGTTATAACTACAGTTTGGTTGTAGAATCAGAAAGTAGCTCTGATGGCTAATTTTATGTGTTGACTTGACTGGAGAACCCAGATATTTGGTCAAACATTATTCTGGGTGTTTCTAAAGGGCATTTTACATGAGATTAACATATTAATCAGTAGAGCAAAGCAGACTGTCTTCCACAAAGTGAGTGGGCCTCACCCAATCAATTGAAAGCCTTTAGAACGGAAAGATGGATGCTTCCCTGGAAAGAGAATTCCCCATCACACTTCATCAGCAACATAGACTCTTCCTGTCAGATGGCCTTTGAACTGGCACACTGGCTCCTCCTGGGTCTCCAGTCTACTGACCCACCCTGCAGATTGGGCTTGCCAGCCTCCATAAGTACACGAGCCAATTCCCTACAATAATCTCTTTCTCTATATATACATATATATTGGTTCTGTTTCTCTGGAGAACCCTGACTAATACATTTGCTATTGGTCAGCTCAGCCCTCAGTGAGGAGCATAATGAAGTGAGACCTCCCATCACAGCACCCCATGAGAGTGACTGAGCCCCAGACCACTCCTGTGCTCAGGGGCCCCCAGAACTCTTACTTGAGCATGCCCTCTCCTGGTTGGGGAGCACAGCAGGTGGCTGGGGATTCAGGTTTGGCTCAGGTTTGCTGGGAATAAAGACCTCAGCGTTGTCCTTCCGTTTAGCCGACAAATTCCTTTCCCTTTTATCACCTGTAGGAAAACAAGTGTTTACCTGTCAGACACTGAGCGCAAGCAGAATTGGGTCATTTGGTTCAAGTGTTTGTTTATTATTCGTTCACTTATTTACTTCACAAATATTTATTGAATTACCCTGTGCCAGTTCCCTTGCTAGCTTGGGATTGCTGAAAGTGCTGTGTGCCCAGCACCACATTTTGGTAAATAAATGAAATATTCTGGGACACACAAAGGTTTTCAAATTTTAACATTTCTGGAGCTGGCTGGTCAGCTCAGTTGGTTACAGTGTAATGCTGATAACATCAAGGTCCAGGGTTTGATCCCTGTACTGGCCAGTTGCTGGGGGGGGGAGGGGAAGAACATTTCTAAACAGGAACAAGCCTCACTATCAGTGGGGTGCAGCATGGTACATTAGTAATGGTGCCACAAAGGACGACTTGGAGAGGAAGGAGTACAGCAAAGCACACTCACTGCCCTCAGGGAGCTCACAGCTGAGTTGAGGAAAAGGCCGGCTGAGCAGATAAGAGAGCAGGGCTTGCACAGAAGGACCTGGTCCCCATGGAGAAGCATGTGCCCTAAGGGTGTGGCTGGCAGGTATGTGGGGAGGTGACAGTGAAGAGGGTCCTTATAGATGACTAAGGAGTTGCCAGGGGCACCAGGATGGGGGCATTCCAGACATGGGCAGCGTGTGTGTGTGTGTGAAGGCGGGCGAGGGCTTGAGGTGGCAGGTGTGGAGGTGAGGGCTAGTGATGGGCCGGGGAACAGAGCCGCATGGTAAGGGCCCGCAGGCCAGGCTCTAGAGTCTGACTTCCTCCTCAGGTCAGTGGGGCACCTGCACCCTGGCAGCACAGGGGATGCCTCCAGATGCTGGCAATTTGCCTCCATTTGCTGGGCAAACGATTTGTTTTGTTTTTTTACCTCATCTGATGGTCTAAGTTATTTATTTATTGGGGAGGGGAGGCAAATGTTTTTAAAGCAATTATATATCTCAATATGAAAAGAAAAAATATGTATCTGGCATTACAAATCCTTGATTTCATGAATATTACTGCTTAGAACAATCCCAGAATTATGAAAGAAAAGAAAGAGAAAGGGAGAAGGAAGGAGAAAGCAGGGGGAGGAGGAGAAAGAGAGAGAATAGAAGGAAGGAAGGAAGGTGACTGGTTTAAATACCAGTTGAAAACAGTACAAGTGGAAAAAAATAAAAAGAAAAGAAAAAAAATAGTACAGGTGGTTTGTGGATATGGCAAAAACCTGTGAAGAGGGGTGACAAATGGCTAGAGTTTGGGGAAGGTAGCCCCAGGGTGTTGGAGCCAGCAAAGGTTTACAAGCACAGGAAGGATGCATTCAAGATGACCAGGTGGAAAAGCAGTCCTGCTGGCAGCAAGGCAGGTGGGGAAATGGAACAGAGAGCCTGCAGGCAGGGAGAGCCCTCTGGTGCCTGCACTTGGGGACCTCCTGGCCTGGGAAGGAAGAACACCCGGGAAGTGCCTGCTAAGGTGCAATGGGAGAGGAGTCCCAGCAGAGGAGATTCTGGGGCCTGTGGTGGCCCACGGGAGGGGGAGTCCCAGAACCAAGGGCCCCCTGTGATTCTTGGGAGCTCAAGGTAGGTGTGGGGACCTGTGTAGGGTCTGGCCAACTCTCACTACCCTTTCTGCCATCTCCTCTTGACTCTGTCACAGACAGACATTTCTCCACCATTTTCTGAAGTAGTTGCTCCCTGGTTGGCTGGATACCCAGGGCCCAAGGGCAGCCCAGTGTGTGAGAGAGGAATATGTCAATCACAGGTCAATGGGACAAGACAGAGAATGGAGAGGGGCAGATGACCCTGGACTTCCCAAGGGCTGAGAATATGATACATAGACAGCCATGATTCAGTTCGGCCTCCTGAGTGCCCAGGCTCTGGGGTATGTCCTGGGCATGCTTGGCCTCATCTGCTCCCCCAGCTATCCTGGGCTAGTTGCTCCCTGGTTGGCTGGATACCCAGGGCCCAAGGGCAGCCCAGTGTGTGAGAGAGGACTATGTCAATCACAGGTCAATGGGACAAGACAGAGAATGGAGAGGGGCAGATGACCCTGGACTTCCCAAGGGCTGAGAATATGATACATAGAGTGACAGCCATGATTCAGTTCGGCCTCCTGAGTGCCCAGGCTCTGGGGTATGTCCTGGGCATGCTTGGCCTCATCTGCTCCCCCAACTATCCTGGGGGTAGACACTCCTCTAAGGTAGGCAGAACAGTGGTCCCCAAAGATGTTAAAGCCCTAATCCCCAGCCCTGTGAATGTTAAATTACAAGGCAAAGGGGAATTAACACTGCTAGTCAGCTAACCTTAAAATAGGGAGGTTATCTTGGATTATTCGGGTGGACCCAATGTAAACACAAGGGTCCTTAAAAGTGGAAGAGGGGGCCGAGCCCATGGCACACTCGGGAGAGTGCGGCGCTGGGAGTGCAGCAGCATTCCCGCCACGGGTTCGGATCCTATGTAGGGATGGCTGGTGCGATGCGCTCACTGGCTGAGAGCAGTGCGGACGGTCACAAAAAGGACAAAAAAAAAAAAGAAAAAAAAGTGGAAGAGGGACAAAGTTTCAAATTGGGATGATGAAAGACTTTTGGAGATGGACAGTAGTAATGATTATGTAACAATATGAATGTTCTTAATGACAATGAATTATACCACTAAAAATGGTTAAAATGGTAAATTTTATGTTAAATGTATGTTGTGGATTGAATGTCCCCCCCCAAACTCATTGAAGCTTGACCCCCATTGTAACGGTGTTAAAAGTGTGGGAAATCTGGTTATGGTATTTAAAAGGCAGAGCCTTTAAGACAGTAATGATTATGTAACAATATGAATGTTCTTAATGACAATGAATTATACCACTAAAAATGGTTAAAATGGTAAATTTTATGTTAAATGTATGCTGTGGATTGAATGTCCCCCCCCAAACTCATTGAAGCTTGACCCCCATTGTAATGGTGTTAGAAGTGTGGGAAATCTGGTTATGGTATTTAAAAGGCAGAGCCTTTAAGAGGTGATTAGATTGTGAGGGCTGTGCCTTTGTGAATGGATTGATCCACTTGTGGAGTGACGGAGTGATGGTTGTGGTTCTGATGGCTTTATAAGGAGGACAAGTGAGATTAGCTCTCTCTTGCTCAGGCCATTCTCTTGCCCTGTGATACCCTGCATTGTCACGGGACTCCATATAGCGTTCCCACCCAGAGGAAGGACCTCACCAGATGCGCCCCCTGGACCATGGACTTCCCAGCCTCCAAAACTGTAAGAAATAAATTCTATTTCTTTATACATTTCCCAGTTGCACGTAGTCTCTTACAAGCAACAGAAAACAGACTAATCCATATATATGTTACCACAGTAACACACACATTCTCACACACACACACCCACAAGTGGAAGTGGTGGAGGGAGGCAGGAGAGGAGAGTCAGAGGGAGATGTGACTGCAGAAGCAAAGCACAGAGAGATGCAAACTTGCTGGCTTTGAAGGCTGGCTTCCTTTGAGGAAGGGGCCATGAGCCAAGGAATGTGGGTGGCCTCTGGAAGCTGGAAAAAGCAAGGAAACAGAATTTTCCTGAGAGCCTCCAGAAGGAACACAGGCCTGCTTATTGGAGTGAACAGGACTAAAGCCATGCTGGGACCTAAAACCACACGGGTTCTAAAATATTTTAAAAAGATAGTGTTTTTCTTGGCATGCATTTCTCTGAGTTCCCTCTTTTCCCATGGTTATCTGATATTTTGAATCTTGGTTATGGGGCAAGATGACATTATTTACATGAATGTAAAGTTGTTTTCCAGCCAGCCTGAAGTTGCAGACTTGCACGTACTACCCAGAACCTGAGATAACAGCAAAGATGAGAACAAAACCAGACGAGGCCTCAGAGAGACCTTGCCCCTGAGACCTTCCATGAAGCTCTCACTGATACTCATGCCCCTCCCTCCTGCTTTTCTCTTCCCACGTTCCATTTCCTCATCCCCCTCTTTAAAACCCCCTCAGTAAACCTGAGGCTTTGAGATGGCTTCAGTCTGGCCACTCTCTTTCAGGTTCACCAGAGAGATGGGTTAGCCCAACATCTCTCCTCAGGTCACCAGTATTCCTGAATAAAAGCTGACTTCCAGTTTTTGCCAACATCTGACTTTTGAGTGGTTTGCTTTTGTCTGGGAGCAGGCAGCCGGACTTGTGAGTTCAGTATCAATTTTGGGGAGCCTGAGCCAGGAGCTGAGTGGTCCCTTGTACCACGCTGACACTGATTTTAGCCCAGTGAGACTCACGTTGGACTACTGACCTACTGAACTGTAAGATAAGAAATCTGTGTTGTCTTACGCCACCAAGTTTGTGGTAATTTGTTACAGCAGTGACAGAAAACTGATACGTCCCATTACATGGGAAGGCTCTGAGGTTCACTCATCCAAGGGCAAAGAGCTAGGAAGTGATGTGAACAGGATCTGATCAGGCCTGCCTGTCTCCAAGCCCAGCCCTCAACTATTTTATTCCCCAGCTACTTGCCCCCTCCTCTCCATTAGACGGCTCTCTAGAAACTGGCCGGGAGGTCTGCTTCGGCCATCAAAAGTCTATACAAGGATATGTTCCAGGGTACCTAAGTATGCAGATTCCTGGTGCAACCCAGCCACGCTGGCCCTTTTCCTGTCCTTGGCAAAACAAGCTCTTTCTCTTCAGGCCCTGTGTGCTTGCTGCTCCCTGTGCCTGTGGCTGTGCCTATGGCTCGGCTGTCCCATTCCTGTCTCAGCTTAAACATCATCTCCTCTGAGAAGGTGTCCCTGACTACTCTTGCTAAAGTGGCCCCAACTCCCACCCCCTACCAGCCTCTATTTTATACTCTTCACAGCTTTTAGGACCATCACGTACCAGTCTCTCCTCCTCTCTCAATTCCCAACCTGACCCATGAACTTGGCCCTCTCCTTTCCAGTTACTTAAGAAATGACTTCTGCCTTTCCCTGTGCTGTTCACTCGTGGCCCTTTATTTGCAGGAGGACGAGTCGGATTGGAGACATGGGGGCAGGGAGCCACAAGGCTCAGCCCCACTCCTCCTTTCCTCCTCCCAGCCCAGAAGGCATGGCCTCCTCCACCAGCTGACGCCCATGCCAGCAGCAGTCCAGCTTGGCCAGCATCGGAGGACGAGTCGGATTGGAGACATGGGGGCAGGGAGCCACAAGGCTCAGCCCCACTCCTCCCTTCCTCCTCCCAGCCCAGAAGGCATGGCCTCCTCCACCAGCTGACGCCCATGCCAGCAGCAGTCCAGCTTGGCCAGCATTGGGGTGGGGGCCTGTCCCTGTCAGAGCAACAGCACTGAATGGCCTCCATCCCTGCTGTCATTGGGTGTAAAGGTGATAACCGGCTCTTCTTCTATCAGAGTCCGAGGCCTGCCTCTCTTTGTTTAATAAGTTTGGAGGGAAAATGAGTGGGTTACTTCCTGGCTCCCCAAAACCCAACTATTGCTTTGTAACTTTACCTGGTTTCTTTAGTCAGGCTAGTGGTTAGAGCTCAGGCTCTGGTCTCATACTGCTGGAATTTTGATCCCAGCTCTTCCCCTTCCTAACTGTGAACTTGGGCAAGTTACTTGACCACTCCATGCCTCAGTTTACCCATATGAAAAACAAGTACAATGGTAGTATTTTCCTTGGGGTTGTAGTGAGGATTAAATGAGGGTCTCTAGCTAAGGCCTTTGGAATAGCACTTGGCACATGTTAATAAAACCTCAATAAATGTTGGCAATTATTATGATATGTGCATTTATGTGCTTATTGTCTGATTTCCCTGCTAGAATGTGAGTGCCTTAGGAGAAGGGACTGGGCCTGTCTCGTCCTAGTACAGTGCTTGGGGCGTGATATGTGCCCAAGAATGAATGAATGAACAGCCCAGAGCCATACACATCTTTTCAGGCTATTGCTAGCTGTTCTTGAATAAATGTGCAACATTTGTTAGAAACTCCAGTCCCATGCTGGGGACTAGGAGACCATACAACAGGCCCCTTAGCCTCTAGCCTGCTCTTCTCTGCAGAATCCTGTCTCCTGCTGGGGCTGAAGAAGCCTCCAGAGGCCACAGATGAAAGGGACAGGGGCAGTGATAGTGGGCAGAACGCCCCACAGCCCCTGTGTACATTCAAAGCCTGGACAGCCCCTGCCCATGGCAGATGTCACTGCAGTCAACATGGGGTCTGCCAAGCAATCCAATTGTTAAAAAATGTAAAATGGTGAGAAATTCGTTTTCTCTGCTCACTTTATGCCCAAGTGTCACTCCTGAACTGTGCCTGGAGTCAATTGTCTTTGTGTGGCCTGGGCCTTCAGACCTGGAAATCACTGTCATGCCCCCCATTTCTAGGGCAGGGGCTTGGTCAGCCTCCTGGGAGCCCCCTCCTGCCCTTGACGCCTCTGGGAGAAAATCCCCTGCAGCAGCGCAGTCCCAGTGGGTCTCGCACAGAAGGATCGAACATCGCCCTTCCCGCGTGATGCTCTAGCAGGAGGGTGGACACCTTCACTTACTTGACAGAGGCTTCCTGAGCAGCTGCAATATGCCAGGTGTGGGCTGCAAGCTGGGGACGCTGGCCTGTGCCCAGCAGAGCATCACAGGCCATGGGGAGAAAGACAAGTCGGGTCAGTGAGACCAGCGTCCTGAGGACACCGTGGGAGCACAGAGGAGGCCTGACCTACCCGGCCGTGCGGGGAGCACCGGAAGGCTTTGTGCAGGAAGCAATCTCTGAGCGGAGTCATGAGGGAAAAGCAGGGAGCCAGCATTCAGGGTTCAGGGTTCAGAGTGGAGAGAAAAGGGCATGTGTAATCTAGGCAGAGGGAACTGCCCGAGCAGGGGTTTGGTGCTGGAGAGAACATGGCGAGAGCACGTCTGACGGGCAAATGTCGTCTTCTATGGAGACGTCAGCCACTGGGTGTGTATTTTCCCAGGGCTGCCTGTTATGGGCTGAATTTTGTCCCTCCACCCTCCCCCCAAATTTATATTTTGAGTCCTAACCCACAGGAAGCGATTGTATTTGGAGACAGGGTCTATAAAGAGGTAATTAAGTTAAAATGAGGTCATTAGGGTGGGCCCTAATCCAATCTGACTGGTGTCCTATAAGAAGAGACTAGGACACAGACATACATAGAGAGAAGACCATGAGAAGACATGGGGAGAAGAGGGTCACCTATAAGCCAAGGAAAGAGGCCTCAGAAGAAACTCACCCTTGATCTTAGACATCCACCCTCCAGAACTAGGAGACAATAAATTTCTGTTGCTTAAGCCACCCAGTTTGTGGTACCTTGTTATGGTGGTCCTAGCAACTAACACACTGCCTGATTTCAAACAATCCCTCATTTCCCTTTCCTTAGGTTCGCTCTGGTTCAGAAACTATGCTCTTCCCTTAGCTGGCATAGCCAGCTTTGAGGATGCACTGGGGATAGAGAGAGAGGAGCAGGCAGAGGTGAAGCCAGCCTGAGTCCGGGGATAAGGGCTCTTGCCATTAGGCCTCTCCCTACCTCCTCCTCTCTCCTCCCTGTCCCCACCAATTGGTTTGCTCACTGTACTTTCTGGGATCTCTCTCTCTCTTTTTTTTTTGGCGGCTGGCTGATATGGGGATCTGAACCTACAAGGCTGTGCTTTAACCAACTGAGCTAACCAGCCAGCCTTTGTAGGATCTTTTCTGAAAAACCTCCTCCAGTGGACAGCTGCTGTTTCTGCCTGCCCAGCATCCTTGCTCCTGCTCCAGAGTCACCTTGATTTTCCTTTGGAAACTACCTTCAATGCACTGTCAGTCCATGTGGTTGGGTAGTGATAACCACACCCCTTAGTCTGATTGACTGGACCTGGCCAATCAGAGCCATGGTGATTAGTTCAGAGATAACATGTGACCCAATGTGGGTTGACAGCCAGGCCTGGGACTTTTGACGGAGCTTTTAGGAAAGAAAAATTCACTTTCTGATGGAGTTGCAAAGCCCATCAGATCTCTTGGAAAGCCTAGCTAAGAATGGAATCCACACAAAGGAAAGCAGAGATGAGAGGGAGAAGGGAAGGAGAAGAGAGAGAAGGAAGAAAAGGGGAGAGAAGCAGAGAGAAGGGGAGAGAAGAGGAGGGAAGAGGAGGGAAGGGGAGGGAAGAGGAGGGAAGGGGAGGGAAGGGAAGGAAGGTAAATGAGTCCTGCTACAGCTCTGGACTTTTCAGTTATCTAGGCCAATAAATAGTCCCTTTTGCTTAAGCTACCAGAGTAGCCAGTTGGCATGTAGATGCTGCTAAACATCCAACAGTACACAGGACAGCCCCCAACAATTATCTGCCAGACATTTACCATCTGGAATTTCAGGTTCATTTGGAAGCCTTTGCCTCTTGCAATCAACAGATACCTGACTGATATACCTCCTGGCCTATGAGATGGTCTACATAAAGCTGAATCCAAAGTACTCCTGGAGGTATAAGTCCTACTATTAGATTCAGAGACACCAAAGGCAAAGAAATGTCACAAAAGGCAGAGCTCACTTTTGGAAATGGGGTTAAATTCCAGCACCACAAGAGTGTCTGGGCCCTGGGGAGGGCGTCCTTCTGTCTCCTGGTCCTTGAGAACATCCTTCTGCACTGAGTCCCCACTGGAAAGAGGGGGGTCATCTCTGGGGTGGCCCATCAGCACCTGGTCCTCAGCTTCGGGCTCAGAGAGTACGTCTTCTTCGATAGAATCATACTCATCACTGGAACAATCCTTTTGTTTCCTTTGCAGATTTATGCTTGGTTCCAGGCTTTTTCTTAGCTCCTGCCAAAAGCCAAGAAGAGAGATGAAAAATAAAATATGGGACTTTGAGAAGAACTTATTTGAAAATAGATCATTTGAACCAAAGAATTATTCCCACCAAACTAACACTTGACAATATCATCTCAGCCCACGTGTTGCCACTCCTAGAAGACGAGAAAACAAAGGATGGGGAAAGACAAGCAACTCTCTGGACAGAGCAGTATTTACAGCACTGATTGTGGTGTCTGTGTCCCTGAGATGTCACTAAAAATGCATGTGCGTGTGTGTGTGTAACAGATGATATGGTTCTGGGGCTTGTTAAAACAGACTGTGGAGTTCCACCCCCAGATCTTCCGATTCAGTGGGTCTGGGATGGGGCCTGAGAATTTGCATTTCTAATAAGGCAGTCCTAATGCTGCTTGTCCAGGGACCACACTGTGAATATGAAATCTCAAAGGCCTCCAAATAACCCTAAAATTCCAGATGGTAAAATGTCTGGCGGATAGTTGTTGGGGGCTGTCCTGTGTATTGTTGGGTGGTTAGCTTAAATGTCAAAACATTTAGCATTTACGGCTTGATGATTTTTTCATCTGTTTCTTTTGTCTCCCTGAGACTGTAGATTCCTTAAGGCTGAGCATTAAGATCTATACTCAGAGTGACCAGAAAATGTATCACCTAAACAAGGATACTTCTGAAAGGGAAAAAGGGGATAGAGAGTACAAACTGGATTATCCAGACAAACAGTATGTTTGGTCAGCCTAGCTATGCTACCCTGTAGCCCTTGTAGTACATGACATAGTTCTGAGAAAATGAGAAGCAATCAATAAAGGTTTAATGATTGACCAATAAACCTAATAGCTGTGTGGTAGGCTGAATAATGGTTCCCCAAATATATTCATGTCCTAATCCTCAGAACCTGTGAACCAGTGAGTGCTCAGGAGGAAGTGAGAACACTATATAGAAAATTTTTATCATCTTAGAGAAATCATCGTAAACAGACCAATAACGGAAATAGAGACATTAAAGGTGAGGGCTCAGGTAACGAGTCACATGTAACTGGAAACTTGAGGAGAGGGAATCCTGTCATACAGTAGCCGAATCTTAGCTGACTTGTGTCCTACAGTTATGTGGCAAGCAGAGCTTATAAATGATAAACTTGGATATTTAGCTCAGAAGATTTCCAAGCAAGGTGTTGAAGATTCAGTCTGGTTTCTTCATGCTGCTTAGAGTAAAATGTGAGAGAAAAGAGACTGAGGGAAGAACTGTTAAGTAAAAAGGAACCAGGACTTGACGATTTGGGAAATTCTCAGCCTAACCAGATTGCAAAAGATGCTAAAATTAGGAGACTCACTGTCAGGAAAGTGTGTCCTGGAGAGGAAACCAAGAGTGTGGCTGGACAACCTAGTATCTCAGAAAGAGCCAAAGTTCAGAGTACTCAATCACACAACGGACTCTATGAAGAGACTAGACAGGTGACTCACAGATCCCCTTAGACATCTCAGCAGAAGCCAGGAATAGGGATAGGATTATCCAGGAAAGATTTGTAGAGGAGCCTCTTGTCTAATAGAGTGAATCCTAAAGACATACACAGGAGTCACACATGGGTTTCGAGAATGTCATACCAGCAGAAACACTACCAGCTTGTACTGAATGGGAGAAAGGATGAAATGAAAGCAGGCTGCTAGGCTTCCCAAAATTCTACAAACTGATAAAACTACTCATCTGCAAACACATGCTATCCTTCCTGAAAAAGGAGATCCAAACCACAGAGAATTATTTCCAGGTCTTGAAATGTACTGAAGTTTGCCCAGTGGGTTGTTAAATTGCCTGGGTTTGGTGATTCCTTTTTTTTTTCCCTTTAATTTCCCCTTTTTAAATGGGAATGTCTATAACTGTCAGGCCATGCCTGACCCACCATTGTATTTGGGAGCAAATAATTCGTTTTCTAGGTTCACAGGTCCACAAATGGAGAGGAATTTTTCCCAAAATGGATCATACCCAGAGTCCCACCCATACATAGTTAATTTAGATTATTTAGATGATGAGATTTGGGAATTTTGAGCTGATAAAACTACAGGTAATATTTTGGACTTGAGTTGATACTATAATGGGTTGAGACTTTTAGGAACCTTGGAATGGGATGAATGTATTTTGCATGTGGGATGGACATGAATCTTTGGGGGATTTTTGTAGGCTGAATAAATGCCCTCCAAAGACGTCCACATCCTATTCCTCAGGACCTTACCTGTGAATATGTTACCTTCCATGTCAAAGGGACTTTGCAGATGTGATTAAGTTAAGGATCTTGAGATGGGGAGATTATTCTTGATTATCCAGGTGGGCCCAATGTAATCACAGGGGTCCTTATATGAAGGAGGCAGGAAGATCAGATTCAGAAAGAGAAGACATAAGGATGAAAGCAGAGGTCAGGGAGGAGGAAGATGCTACAGTGCTGGCTTTGAAGCAGGAGGAAGGGGACATAAACCAAGAAATGTAGGTAGCCTCTAGAACCTAGAACAGGCAAGGATATGGATTCTCCTCTAGAGCCTCCAGAAGGAATGCGGGCCTGCAAATGCTTGATTTTAGACCAATGGAACTGATTTTAGATTTCTGACCTCCAGAATATAAGATAAGCCACCAAGTTTGTGTTGCTACAGCAGAAATAGGAAACTAATACAGCCATCTATCTTTTATAGCTGTCTCCCTCCCATCCCCTCAATACCAAGAATCAGTGATATTTATTGAGCAACTAGAACACTCCCTGGCACACAGTAGGTGCCTGATAAATATCTGCTAAATGACTAAATAAATTATATCATTGACTGGGTGGTGGCTGTGAGCAGAAGTGAGGTACACTCACATACCTTGGAGGTGGCATTAGTGATGTGACCCTTAGCAAGTTACTTAAATCCTCTGAGCTGCATCTGGACATCTACAAAAATGGGTTAACAAATCTCTGCCTCTCAAAACTGTTTTATTAAAGCAGTAGTCTGAACTGGGGATGATTTTGCCCCCAACCCTCAGGGAAATCCTCTGAGCTGCATCTGGACATCTACAAAAATGGGTTAACAAATCTCTGCCTCTCAAAATTGTTTTATTAAAGCAGTAGTCTGAACTGGGGATGATTTTGCCCCCAACCCTCAGGGGACAATTGGCAATGACTGGAGATATTTTTGGTCACAACTGGGGGGCGGGGAGTACTATTGGCATCTATTAGGTGGACACCAGGGACTCCACTAAACATGCTAGAGTGTCCCACAACAAAGAATTATCTGGCCAAAATATCAATACTGCTGAGGTTGAGAAAGCCTGTGTTAAAGCAAGTTTGTATTCACCACTGGCACTTAAAAAGATAAGACATGGTCTTCTAATTGAGTGTATTCAGAGGTCCATGCAACTTTCATTGAAATGAGACTGAGGTCATGGCTCATGTCTTCACAGTTTGATTGTGGTGGGCAGTTGGAGGGTCAGCAGATTTATTGCTCCTCTCCACGAAAGCACGAGTTGCTGGGTGGCCTGAGATTTAACAGTGATTTCAGTGATTTTAAGATTAGCAATCCTTTACAGTAGAATAATGCCCTGTACTCTATAAAACATTTTCAACTCTTTCTCTCATTTGATCCTCACAATGATGCTGTAACACACATAGGTGGAGTAAAAACCTGGTATTACCTGAATTTGGTCAAAACAGGATAGCCTATTGGCTCATGCTCTGGGCCCAACCCCCATTCTCAGATGAGGTTGTCTTAAGTTATGTTCTACAAGGCTGGGGGCAAGGCTGGTGAGAAAGCAGTGGACAGTCCCTCTCTCTGCACCCTCAGTGTTCTTGCCCAGCCACTGTGGATTGAAAAGATAATATGGGTGCTGACTAGCTGTGAGACTGCTGTCCCTGTCCAGGAAACTCCGGTCAGTCTCGGGGCCCAGAACTGTCCCACTGATGTTGAGGGAGAGTGGAGACACTGATCACAGCTCTCTAGGAAGGATTTGGATCTGTGAGACTGCTGTCCCTGTCCAGGAAACTCCGGTCAGTCTCGGGGCCCAGAACTGTCCCATTGATGTTGAGGGAGAGTGGAGACACCGATCACAGCTCTCTAGGAAGGATTTGGACGGGGCATTAGGACTCTCAAACCCATGGTCAGCTGAGCAGGCTCCCCCAGCCTCTTCATTACCTTCACAATGTTGCAACCCCATATTTTAAGTGGCTGAATGTCTGGGGTCCTGAAATTTGAGAACTGAGGCCTAGAGTTTGTGAGCTGGTCCAACATCTCACAGTGACTAAGTGAGGGGCAAAGCCGCAACCTCTGCCCTCAGCAATTCTCCTGATCCTTCGAGATCATCCATGTGCAGAACAGACTCTCTTGCATCCTGTCATGGCCTAGCCAATGGGCAGTACAATATGGCAAACCACCACACATTAGTGCACTCAGGCATGCGCATGAGCTACGGGTTGTGGTAACAGGGACTGGAGCGTCCAATGTGGAAGGGGCGACAGACTGACAGCGCATAAGGAAAGACAAATAGGGGCATTGCAGATGTGGCCAGGACTGCAAACAGAAGCCCCTGTCTGGATGAGGGGACAGCGTTGACTGGGCTGAGGGTGCCCCAAAGAAAGGTGGCCAGGGAAGGCCGAGTGGTGAGAGCAACACAGTGAGTGGCCTCGCGTGTCAGGTGGTAGCAACAGCAGAGGTGAAGAGCAGGAGGCAGAAAGGGCTGGATGGCAGGGGAGGTAGGGTCAGGGCTTTGTAGGCTTTAGGAAAGAGAATGGATTTTGTTTTATGCACGATGAGAAGCCACTGAAGGGCAGAGATACCACAGCATCCGATTGCTGTTTCTCAAGATCACTATGGCTCTCGGATACCAGATGGATTTTGAGAGGCAGGGCAAGGGCGGAAACAGGGCGAGCAGCCACAGTAGCAAGTGAAGGAGGCAGGTGGTCACAGAGGTGGGGACAGGGAGATGGCCTTGAGGTGAATCTGGGAGGCAGCGATGACAGAAATGGCTGACTAGGAATTAACAATATG